ATGTACACTATGGGCAAAGTTAATGTACACTAGGGACAAAAAAAGTGTACATTTGCAGATTGAATGAAATTTTCATTCTGATGAAGTCAAAAATTGAAAGTGTAAAATAATGTATACTATGGGCAAAAATAATGTATACTATGGGCAAAAATAATGTACACTAGTGACAAAAAAAATGTACATTTGCAGATTGAATGAACTTTTCATTCTGATGAAGTCAAAAATTGACAGTGTAATATAATGTCTACTATGGGCAATGATAATGTACACTATGGACAAAAATAATGTACATTTGCAGATTGAATGGACTTTTCATTCTGATGAAGTAAAAAATTGACAGTGTAATATAATGTATACTATGGGCAAAGATAATGTACACTATGGACAAAAATAATGTACATTTGCAGATTGAATGAAATTTTTATTCTGATGAAGTCAAAAACTGAAAGTGTAAAATAATGTATACTAGGGGCAACAATAATGTACACTAGGGAAAAAAATAATGTACATTTGCAGATTGAATGGGATTTTCAATCTGATGAAGTCAAAAACTGAAAGTGTAAAATAATGTACACTAGGGGCAAAAATAATGTACTCTAGGGACAAAAAAAATGTACATTTGTAGATTGAATTAATTTTCATTCTGATAAAGTCAAAAGCTGAAAGTGTAAAATAATGTACACTACGGGCAAAAATAATATACACTAGGGACAAAAATAATGTATATTTGCAGATTGAATTAATTTTCATTCTGATAAAGTCAAAAGCTGAAAGTGTAAAATAATGTACACTACGGGCAAAAATAATGTACACTAGGGACAAAAATAATGTATATTTGCAGATTACTAAATGAAATTTTCAGTGGACTACTAAATTGCACCAACTGGTTGTATTCAAACTCAATAATAAACTCAGCAACCAATTTTAAACATAATAAAGATCATAATTCTAAATCAAAGTCTATATCCTGTAAAATTCTATTATAACTACAATCAATTATCATTTGAAATATTCTGTGATCCAGACCTAACACAAACAAACTTTGAACTACTACTAGCACTTGAATGAACAATATATCCACTCCCAACAATCTCAGAAACAACCTGTTGAACCGAAGATTGGGCTGCAGCTTTCGTGTTTTCTTCAACCGCCTTGCTATAATTCCTTCGAGCTCTAGCTTGATTATGCTTCTTTTGCATTGTACTAACCAACCTTCGGTTACGCTCTCCTTTCACACCTCTACGTACAGGATTTTGTATTACACTACTTGGTAAGGGTGTTTCAAAGTCATCAACACTAATAGGACTAACTTTAGCTTCAATCCTTCTTCTAAAATCATCAAAACCTGCCTCACAAACTTCACGAGCTTCGTAGTTATCTTGACTTGAAATAACTAATCTTTGGAACTTCCTACCCATTTGTATAACCCAAATGGAAGATGCAACAGTAAACATATTTGGACCAGATGAAATGTCCATGATCCTATCTTCAACAACTCTTTTTGTCCACCTTTGACATATATATTGGTCAGGTATTGTTCCAACATAGTTAATGTTGAGAATACGTAGACAATGTGAGCATAAGATCCCCATCTCAGAAAAAAAAAAAAAACTTACAACTACAACAAATCTTCATATCCTTGGGGTTAAAACAAACCTCATGCCGAATAAAGTCAATATCCGGACGCCATACATGATATTTCAACTCATCCCCACGGCTGACCACCATCTCTTGATGACATGCACCACCTTTCAAAAATTGTTCCTCAAACAAATAATAAACTTCAATAGTGTATATACCTCTAGCATGTGAAAGAAGTTTCACATGATCCATAGCCATTGTAGGCACCCCTTGAGAACAAAGCACATCCTCCCCACTTTCTTTACTCCTCCATTCATGAACTACATTAACAAAATAATTGTAGAAATCACACAAGCCAGCTGTCTTGGATAACCTTCTTGAAACTGAGTGATTTGTAGTCTCACTCATTTGAGAAGATAGAATACCTCCAGAAAAGTAATCTTTGTTAAATGCAGGACACCATTTCTCCCTAATATCATATAATTTTTCTAACCAACTATTTCCATGACACTTGTATTCAGTCACCATCCTGAAATTTTCATTCTGATGAAGTTAAAAACCAACAGTGTAAAATAATGTATACTAGGGGCAAATATAAAGTACACTAGGGACAAATAAAATGTACATTTCCAGATTGAATAAAATTTTCATTCTGATGAAGTCAAAACCTAACACTATAAAATAACGTACATTATGGGCAAAAATAATGTACACTAAAGACAAATATAATGTACATTAACAGAAACTTATGGCAAATAACTGAATGATGGTTGTATTCAAACTCAGTATTCAACTCAACAACCAATTTTAAACATAAAGACCATAATATTAAAGAATAAAGTGCATCACTCCAAACACATCAAACATGGAATTCTAAAACATATCTAAAAATGTTTATTTTATGACTACTATGTAATCCATACTTAACAAAACATAAAATTGTGTAACTTGATTTTATAAACACGTAGAGAAGAATGTTAAATATAATATAAAACATACCTAGTTGAATAAAACTCAAACTCAGCTTCCGTATCAGTGTACTTCAGCAGAAAGTTGAATAACTCTACAAAACCATTTTGATTTCGTAATCCTTTGATATGTTTTTTTTTTTTTTTGAATTTTCCCCAATATGCCAAATACACAACTTGTGACTTGTGTTTGGAAAAACTTGAGAAATTGCAGCAGACATAGCAGCACATTGATCCGTCATGATTGTTTGTGGGAACTTACCACCCATGGCTCGCAAAAATGTCTTAAACAGCCAAACAAATGATTCAGTCCTTTCATTCAACAAAAAACCACACCCAAACATGATGTTCATGCAGTGGTGATTCATGCCAACAAAAGGACCACAAATCATATCGTACTTATTAGTACGATAAGTTGTGTCATGTACTACCAAATCACCAAACAACGCGTAATCCTCTTTCATTCTTGCATCCTTCCAAAAAAAATTACACAATCTTGCATCACCATCCACTTCAAAATCGTAGAAAAATTCAGGTTCATTGATTTGCCTCTGCCTAAAGATGTCAATTAATGAATTTGAATCAGTGCCATCTAAACCTTTTATTGAATCTGTAAGCAAGTTATTATATGCATCTCTTTGTGTAAATTCAACAAAGAGTGACCCTCCAGATTGTCTTTTCAAAAATCGGATGTCATCCGCCATTGCAACCCCACTTCTTTTCAAGTCTTTTAGATAGGATAATTGGTCAATACCAATGGTTCGGTGAGACCTTAGCATATAGCTTTTAGAAGATGGACACAGCTCATGATTATGTTCCTTCACATGTTTTGTCACAACCCAATTCCCATTAGGGTCCACATCAAATTGGCAAAAAGCAGGACATCCCGTACGTGTGTCTACCCTTGTGTAAGACCTAACAGAATTATCTGGTTTGCATTTGAAACCAAACTTTGAACAATGAAACTTTTTAATCTTCACATTCTGACTACCAGCAAAGTAATATTGCTTCCCCTTTCTAACACTAAATCCCACCCTAAATGCATAATCATTATATAGAGTAAACGCTTCTTCAATTGAATGAACTAAAAGCCCCAATAGCTCCTGATTAACTGAAAATTACAAAAATAATGTACACTAAGGACAAAAATAAACTACATTTTCAGATTGAATGAAAATTACAGTCTGATGCACTTAAATTCCAACACAGTAAAATAATGTACACTAGATTGGAAAATAATGTACACTAAGGACAAAAATAATGTACATTTTCAGATTGAAAGGAACTTTCATTCTGATGCACACAAACAACAACAATATAAAATAATGTACACTAGGGGCAAACATAATGTAAACTAAGGACAAATATAATGTACATTTGCAGCAAATTCTGGCAACCAATTATCATTTGAACTATTTTGAGATGCATACCTAGGGGCAAAAATAATTCATTGTAACATAAGATAAACACAAAGAAAAATAACAAATAAAATACAAATCATTACAACATGATCATTTCATACATAACTACCCGTCATTAAAATAATTACAATAATACTAATAATACTAATTAATAACAAAACCTGGAATAAATGAACTCTCATCAATAGCATTTGAAGAACTTGCATGGACTACATTAGGTAAGCTCTCATCAACTGCATCCCCCAAAGTGACATCAACTGAAAGATAATAAAAATTATGCATGAAAATAATGTACACCATGCATTAAAATAATGTACAATATGACCACATATAATGTACAGTATGCAAACAACTAAACAAACCCTAATCACACCACATTCACTGCAATACATGAATCACAAACCTGGATTTATATGACTAAAATTAACACCAATTGGATAAGTTGAATCAACATTAACCACAGCATTCAAATCACCTATGATACATAAACAATATACACAATCATAAATTGCATAAAAAAAATAAAAAACGAATCATAAATTGCATAAATATGGTGTAAAAACCTGTAATATCATCCTCTAAATCAATCGCATCTACTCTGTTGTCTGTATCATCAATACTATCCATGATCCAAGATGAGTATTCCGAATTCATTACCAAAATTGAATGAAGAAACAAATTGCGTAGTCCGAATGAAATCACAGAGAGAAACAATGAAAATCGTAGAGAGAAATCGCAGAGAGAAATCGCAGAAAGAAGAAACGCAGAAGGAAAGAAGGAAGGAACGGCTAATCTAACGCCGTTAACAATCAATCAGCGAATTTTTTTTTATTAAGACAAAACTGTATCATTTTGGACCATGGTCAATGCAATAATTTGCCCTTCTTTAGTAATTGGACTCAAACTCAATAACAATCAAAATTTTAAAAGCCCAACTACTATGTTCTAAGGCTCTAAGCTAAGGTTTTCTAAATTTATATATATATATAAAAAGGCTCTAAGGGAGTCTAAGCTAAGAGGGCCCAACAAGCCGTTGTGTTGTTGTCTTCTTCTTTGCTTTGCTGCCTTTCACCAATTTCTCTCTCTAAAGTCTACTCTTCCGCAGTTCCGCACCATGGCTTCAACCTTGGCCAAGAGACTCACCTCCTCGCTGTTCAGACCTAATCTCTCTCTTTCATCATCTTATCCTCACCTCTGCACCCATCAGGGTCTCTCAGAAACCGCAAAGATCTCACCTTTCCTCCTTCAATTCTTCAATTCCACTTCAATCAAGTCTCCCTCTTCACTGAACCCAAACCCCAATTTCCCAGATTCCCTTCTCACTGGATCAACTACCCAGTTTAGGTATCTTCCTAGCTTCAAATACCCATTTTATCTTAACCATAACCGTGATCAATTTTTGTTAAACAAGTGTGAAAAGGTGAGGTTTTTATCGACTTCTGAAGAGCCGCCATCAAATGGCAATGAAAAATCTCAAAGTGCTTCTGAGTTCAAGCACCAGGAGATCACTGGGCCCACCGTCGAGCGCGACGTCTCCGCGCTCGCCAATGAGACCCGAGAGGTTCTTGAGAAGATGATGAAGAATGTGTACAGTTTGAGCAAGGCGTTGGCGGTTCTCAGCCTTGTCCAGCTGAGTTTGGGTGCCTGGTTTCTGTATGCTACTAGGGATTCGCCCATGCCTGAGATTTCTTTGCAGAGCTTCTTGGCCTTTGGGCTTCCGATTTCATTGGCTTTCATGCTCAGAAGGTCGCTCAAACCAATGTATTTCTTCAAGAAAATGGAAGACCAAGGGAGGCTCCAGATCCTGACTCTTACTCTTCAGGTTGCCAAGCAATTGAACTTGTTCTTTTGTCGCGTCCAAGGCGTTTCTTATTCCTGTATTGGTGTTGCCGCTCTTGGATTGATCTATGTTGCTTTGTCAAGATAAATTGATCACATAACTGCCATTCTTTAGTTTTATTGCACGTTTTCCAGCATGAATGAAGAGAAAAAATGGTGGCTATGAATGGCCATTGTTGATTTTTGAAGCATGTAACTCTTAGTGCTTTAAATTAACTTCAAGAAAGAAAAAAAAAAACCATTGATTTTTGTTATTCAAGATTTAAATGTCTCAAGTTTCAATCATGATGTAGATTAGTAAAAGTTGAAGTGATTATGCATAGTGTGATATATATGATGTTGGATGGGATTGTCTTCCTTGCTATATTTCTGTGGGAATTTTCATAATTTTAGTCCTATGTAGTAATCTCTTAACATGCTCTATGAGTAACTATTCCTTTTATTGATGCTTTGGACAAAATAATTTTGATTTATCGGACAAAACGTGCAAAGAGACTGAGAATTGAGTCATTGACGGCATAAATTTTATGAGCCGAATGTTGATAGTGCTCTTATCTGAACCAGTGATTACTTACTGATTCATGGATTAAAGATCCGGTGAGTTGACTGTTCATGATTTAGCCAAATTGCTTCAAACAAATGGGATATCTTGTACTGATTTTTTTCTTCTTTTTATTGACATGAGAGCTAGAATTTCCTATGATATGATTGTTGTTAGCGCTCTGTGATTTATGGTGGCTCAGCCAGCATCAAACTTATGGTTTTAAGCCTTCGAGTGATGGACACTGCAGTAAGGTACTATGTGGAAATAGATCTTTCATTTGGTACCGTATTTGCATTTCTCTGTCCATTTTTTGTCTTTCTCGTATTCTTGTTCACCTTTGGGATTAGGCACATTTTCTGAATTCTGTGTGATCACTAACAAACATCATTGCTCCACCAGTCCACCTCTTGTGATTAGTGTAGAATGGAAGTTGCGTCAACAATTTTGCATTTCACAAAAGGCTTGTTTGGTTCTTAGTTAGCAGATATATTTGCCTTGCTTCAGAGAGTATGTTAGCTTGCTGTCGAGTTTTTTGCACTTTTAGTCCCACGACTATAGTGACACCGGCAGAATTGATCCACGACTTTTGAACCTTGCAATTTTAGTCCACGACTATTGATTTTTTTGCAAAAATGGTCCTTCCGGCCACTTTTCCGTCAAAATTTCACCGGAAAAAAAATATTCTTCATTTTTAGCCGGGTTAAAATTGACATTTTACTTATCTCAACAAATTAAAAGAAAAAAATTGATATTTGGCTACATACAATATTACTGGGCGACATACTACTGTCTCAGACGGCGGAGTTCCTGGAGCAGGCAGGGCTGTCAGTAAGCGGCGGAGCGGCCGTGGCGTTCCCCGGGCTAGTTGGGTTATCCGGCAACAGCTTTGGACTGGTACATGTACTCCGCCGCCGCATTTAACCCAGCTAAAAATAGAGAATTTTTTTTCCGGTGAAATTTTGACGGAAAAGTGGCCGGAAGGACCATTTTTGCAAAAAGATCAATAGTCGTGGACTAAAATTGCAAGGTTCAAAAGTCGTGGATCAATTCTGCCAGTGCCACTATAGTCGTGGGACTAAAAGTGCAAAAAACTCGCTTGCTGTCTTATAGACAATGTTGCAAAAATCCGGCCTAGGCGCCTAGGCGCTAGGTGCTTGCCGGCCGCCTAGCATATCACCCGACTAAAACAAATAGGCTTCCACCAGCCCTTGCTGATTTCCTCTTCAACATTCTACAAGAGCTTCTCCATAGCTAGAATAAAGAGATAAGGGGTTATAGAATCCCCTTGACTTAACCCACGTTTAGCATAGAATGGGGCTAACTTCTCACCCTCCCAAAGATATGAAATTGAACCATAAGAGATGGAAATCATAATAAAATTAACAAGTTTTCATAGAAAACCAAAATCACCTAGTATCCACTCAAAGAACTCCCAAGCTATCGTATGCTTTGTACAAATCCAACTTCATGACCATCTAGCAATATAATCAATCCCTTTCTTATTTCTCATGCCACGACCATTTCGTGAGTGAGAACGATGTTGTCAAATGTTTATCTACCTAGAAGGAAACTATTTTAATGTGGACATATTATCTTCTACAGTATAGGTGTCATTCAACTAACAAAAACTTTGGAGATAATTCTGAAAGCCACATTGATTAGAGTGATTAATTAGCATAAAATTGCATGCATTTATTATTATTATTATTATTATTATTATTATTATTATTATTATTATTATTTCATGCATTTATTATTTCAAGGAAAGAGATGTTTGTGTTTGGGTTAGACTTCATAATCTAGATGATTCTTTTTGCTTAGAATGCTAAATATTGCTTAAAAATTTTTCTCACGCACAATTTCAAGAATTTGTGAATCAGTTTCTTATTCTAAAAGTAACATGTCATTTTGATATATTAAATTTTGATATATTTCTCGTAGTCATTCCTAAAATATATTCAAAAATACTTTAAATATATTTTAGTTAATAAATAGTTTTGAAATACACACTTCTATGTTTATTTAAAATATATAAAGAAAAGGTTTAATTTCTATATTTTAGGAGGTTATTCCCAATTAATGTTAATATTAAATAAAATAATAAAAATATTAATAAGTTGATATTGTTGTAAAATGGATATTTCCACATTTATTATTTTGGGTAATTGATGTGATGATTCGGATATATGACAAGTGTATTATAGACTGGTGTGTCATTTTTGTAAATAAAATTTTAAATATCTATTTGGGTGAAAAAATTAAAAAGAAATTGCACAAGCAATCTATATAAATTTGTATATAAAATTAATTTATAGGCAGATAATAATACTCCAATTTAAAACTAGATCGAGTTAGTTTAACTTTATTCGCAGATACTTCTAGCAAAACTAAGACTTGTAATATATTTAATTGACCAATGAATACTAAATACGATACATTCCTTTAAAAGGTTTATTCTAAATGGTTACAAAACGTTCAATGTGTTTTTGTGTTTGATTTCCTAACAAAGACAATGACAAAAATGATTGGGTGGTTGTGATCCTTCAACTTTGCAGTGGCCTCCAACACAATTGTTTTGTTTGCAGAGGTCATCACATTTGCTGTCTTCGGCCTCATTGCCAGGAATACATTCTCCTATGTGATTGTTAAAGCAACATTTGAGATCTTGGGCGCAACTTAGTTTCATAACATCTGATGAAAAAAAAAAAATTCGTCATATTCTTTATTCCTTGTAAAAATAAATGCAATATAATTACATACAATTAATATATATATATATATATATATATATATATATATATATATATATATATATATATATATTAATGAATTATTGAATTGAATAGGAGTTAGTTCTCGGCGCTGCATTATGCCTTAACCACAAAATTCTTTGTCTTGTCATATCATACTTAAAATCAATGGGTAATAAGTAGATAGATATTAATCATTTAACCATATCCTTCTATAATAAGGCACATCACCCCATCTCAAACTCAAAAACAATTTAAAATAATTAATGAAGAAATAAATAAATTAAACCTGATGACAAGATGAGCATTGAAACTAGGACGATTGACAGCACACCAAACCTAGCCATTTCCTCAGTTTCTTCTATCAAATTCAACTCTTCTTCAATTTTCTTTCACCTCAATTATTTTGTGATTGCTCGGGTCTGGGTTTTATAAGGGTGATAAATAACATATATTGGAAACAAATACAATTTTTAGGGAACTTTCTTTTATTTTATTTAAGAAACCAAATCTTTGGAAAAAGACTTTACAATTAGAAACTAATGTAGTTGTAGAAACTTTGAACATTTGGAAACAATGTTTAATTAAATAAAAGTAGTTTGGATGTTTCTAAACATGTATTGTAAAGTTCCTAAAATAAAATTAATTTTCTTTAATACTGTTTCAAATATTTAATAAAATAAAATAAATATTAATAAAATTTAAAAGAGATATAGATATTTTAAACATTTGGAAACAATGTTTACTTAAGGACCGGGTGTGTTTACTTAATGGTTAACTGAACTTTGTCGGTTCGGTCGGTTAATCGAAAATTATTCGAAGTTTGCACACCCCTACACAGAAGGATTTTATCAAAAGTATCAAATAATTAAAATTTTGAAGTATTCAATTCTTTTCATTTTTCTACTCATTTTCTGGAAAGTGAACCAAACACACAAAGACAGTTTTCCGTTGTATAGCCAAACACAGAAAAGGAAAATATTTTTTTTTTGAAAATGGAACCTAGTTTTATTTAAATAATAAATTTGATTTTTTTTCCTTCCTACTATAATATATACATTATACAATGTGAGTTCGAGCCTCAGTGGAGGCGTTATTAGCTCTTTGTGTTTCAGTTGGTTGAGAAAGCATATGAACATATACTACATTGTAATAGAGCTAGAAGCATTCAAAAAAAATATACATTATACAAATTCGTTAATTCTTCTTTTAATGTATTTAATATTAATATTAATTAGGAAGAAAATTTTAAAGTATTGGACTCTTTCCAAAATTAAATACCTAAAGCCATTAAATATTTTGACACTCTTATAACATTTCCTTATATCTTTTTTTTTTTCAAACTAATTAAATATATAAATATTTCCTTAATATATTTTAGAATTATAACAATATTATTCTTAGGAAATATTTGGAAATCTATATATCTTAGAAATGTTCAAAATTTCTCGTAGTCATTCCTAAAGTATATTCAAAAATACTTTAAAAATATTTTAGTTAATAAATATTTTTGAAATACATACTTTTATGTTTATTTAAAATATATAAAGAAAATGTTTAATTTCTAATATTACTAATTGACTGAAAATATAAAAGGAAATGAATATTAATAATTGACTGCAAATAAAAAATGATCTATAATTGACTAAAAAAAATGGTCAGATCATTACATTTTAATTAAAAATGGAATGGAAATTAAAAAATGGAGGCAAATATTCCAATAATAATATTCTACATTATCAATAGTAAATACATATTTTAAACAATAGTAAAGGTAAATTAAAAATGTAACAGAAATATTTCAATAATAATATCTACAACATCAATTAAAAATGGAACGAAAGTTAGGTAAAAATATCACTGCATTTGATATTCTAATTGACTGAAAATAAAAAAGAATAATTGGCTGAAAATGAATCTGATATTACGAATTGACTGAAAATATAAAAGGATAAATAATTGAGTGATATTCTACCATTATATATTTTCACCCAAATAACCTGTCCTGATGGAGAAGATGTTAGCTCTAGACGAAGATGAACAAGATTGTGTTGTTACTACCAATGTCGTCTACAAAGAGGTTTCAATAATGTCAAAATATAATCGGTGATATTAATTTTTTTTTTAAAAAAAAATTGCTATATATCTAGAAAAAATATATATATCTTCCATACAAATGAATAAGGATAGCAATTCATTTCTATAACTGAGTTGTTAAAGAACGAGCACATTTGCCGAATGTATGAAAATATATACTAAACAATGATAAATAAAATCTTCAAAATTATAGAACCGCATGCGTACATCTAGACATTAGCTATTAATTTGAGCAATTATTTGCACAAATTCAAGCAATGAAAACATCAAAATATATAAACGATTCAAATAATATCTTTAATTGCACTATATAATATTTGATGTTCTAATTTAAAAAATTATATATCAATTCATATATTCTTAATATATTACAACAAATCCATTCCGTGAATCACACGGGTGCAAATACTAGTATATAAAGAAAAGGTTTAATTTCTATATTTTAGGAGTTTATTCCCAATTAATGTTAATATTAAATAAACTAATAAAAATATTAATAAGTTGATAGTGTTATCCTAAAAAAAAAGTTGATATTGTTGTAAAATGGATATTTCCACATTTATTATTTTAGGTAGTTGATGTGATGATCGGGACATGATTAGTGTATTATAGACCGATTATGTCATTTTTGTAACTAAAATTTTAAAACATCCATTTGGGTGAAAAAAAAAATTAAAAATAAAATGCACAAGCAATCTATATAAATTTGTATATAAAATTAATTTATAAGCTGCTAATAATACTCCAATTTAAAACTGAAGTTAGTTTAACTTTATTCGCTGATATTTCTAACAAAACTACGCATACATGTAATATATGTAATTGACCAATAAGTACTAAATATGATACATTCCTTTAAAAAGTTTATTCTAAATGGTTACTAAATTTTCATTGTGTTTTTGTGTTTGATTTCCTAACAAAGACAATGACAAAAATGATTGGGTGGTTTTGATCCTTCAACTTTGCAGTGACCTCCAACACAATTGTTTTGTTTGCAGAGGTCATCACATTTGCTGTCTTCGGCCTCATTGCCAGGAATACATTCTCCAATGTGATTGCTAAAGCAACATTTGAGATCTTGGGCACAGGTTGGTTTCATAACATCTGATGAAAAAAAAGTGTCATATTCACTGCTGGAAATTTGCCATTTTCCGACCACCAAAAAATGGTCGGAAATGGCCTTAAATAGGTCGGAAACACCTGTTCCGACCTCTTTTCCGACCAATTTGGGTGTCCGGAAAAATTCCCCACGCTATCTTCGACAAACAGAGAGAGTGGTCGGAAAGAGTAACCACTTTTTTGAAACCGTCGGAAAAAAAAGGCCAAGATATTAGAGTTCAGATTTTCCGACCATTGGGGGTCGGAAATTTCGACCACTTTGATGGTCGGAAAACTGGACGCAGTCAATAAAAAAAATTCATTTCACTACAGAGGATTCCTCTGTAATGAAATATATATATATATATATATATATATATATATATATATATATATATATATATATATATATATATATTTGCTGAAAAACATATACAAATTTCATACACTTGAACACAATTCTTTCATGAATATTTTAGATGATAGCCTTTTCCAATGTAACTTTTTGCTATATATTTTCTTTACAGTTTATATTCAAAATAAACAAAAGCTATAATCGGTTCTTGAGCTAAATGCAAATAAGGTAAATATCGCACTCAATATAGGAACCATAGGTACAGCATCACCAACACGTATTCTTGTTCTTAACAATCTAGTGTATCCACCAGCTCTATCTCTGCAAGTTGAAGAAAATAATGATAGGATTTAATTACCAAAAGCATAAATTCCCTTCAAATAATTATATTAGTAAACTGAAAAGAAAGGAAAAATTAAATTATTCTTTCATTTTTTCTTTAAAAAAGCATAGAAACACCATACTCTGAATGGTAGTCAATTTGGCGTTTTATATATGTCCAAAAGGAAAGTACATGGGAGGAGGGGGACAGAACACCTTACCTTGTTTTATGTTACAGAGTACTATTTATTTTTGTCTTCCATTTAAAGATAGGTAAATAAATAACAATGAAGGGAAATGCTCGAGTTAAACCTGAAAACCTATGCACTAAAGCTGAACCAATATAAAGGTAACTGATGAGATGTAGATTAACAAGTATAATAGGAAAATTACCATCTGGTGCAACCGGAGAAGTTGTTCGGAGATATCCCGAATGAACCATGTAACATAACCACAAATTCCCACATTAACATTCAGTAAATTGCTTCACGTCTTAAACAAGAGTGAAATTGGTATCCTGAACAATAACTGACCTTGGACAGAAAAATCCTTGAGACCAATGTGGCAGAGATTGTATACATTTTGGGTAACTTTAGCCTTCTGTAACTTCTGACCAAGTGAAGAAGTACAATCCAAAGCTTGCAAGTTAGTTATAAAGCTTTGCCTTTGTAAGTGAGACACATAGCTCCCCATGGAGCAGAGTGCATCTTACCTTGACATGAACAAGAATGTGCCCATAATGTAATCCAACAACGCATGCTATGGCAGCCATTAAACAACTAAAAATTTTCAATTAAAATGAATAAGTGGAAAACATTTGGATTAAGAAGGGAGAAAAAGGAAAAAAGAGCACTCAAAGTTGAACTACCAACTTGCAACAAATTAGAAGTGATATCAAGAATTAAGAATGTTTATAATCTGACCTTTTTTACATGATTTTGGTAAAAAAATGACATATCTATGTACTTAACCAAAACGTGTAGGATGACTAACCTTGTGGAGACATTAAACCAATTAGCACCAATGTGATGTATAAAATAAAGCATTGGTTGAGAAGATCTTGAATTCTCATTGCATATCTAAATGGATAAAAAATTACTGTAAAATTTGCTAAACTAATCTACTCTTATGCTTCATCAAAAGTAAGGACAACGACAATCACTTCAGTGTTATTATTGAAGAGTGAATCACAAAATTTTGAGCACCTTATATGTTTATTTATTAAAAAAAAAAGTAAAAAACAATAACAACAAGAACAACATGACCAGTCTGCATTAACAGCAAAACTATATTCATATATAATATCTTGGATGCGTATTATTCCACTAGAGATGTAACAATAGATTAGAAAGTGGTGCATGGTTAGTAATCATCATTCAGAACATAATAGTTACCTCATAAGAAGGCACGATGTTGCGGATTACAAATGCTTCTCCATGTTGAAATCCCAAGACAACTGAGGGACAAACCCGAGAGTCTGCGCAAGCAATCACCATAAACTGTCCTTCAAACATGTAAGAATTTTCATCACATGGACTGCATAATTAGGCAAGTAGCAGCACTTAATGATCAAACAGAAAGTTCCGAAAATGAACAAATGCAGAACATATACCTTTGGTTCTTAAGCATTTGCAAGATCCTTAAAGTATTCCATATTGGCCCTAGTTCAAGAAAAGAAGCAACCAATCAGATTGGGGCCACCCCTAACTCGTAAACATAATGAAAGTACATCCCTGAACTTACTCACTAAATCTGCTGGTGACAGATCAGAGGTAATTAGCAGACTCTCAGCAGCAGCCTTGAATGCCAGTATTACACTTCAGTACTTCACAAATTTAAAATAATTTGTAAGTAATGAGCACTAGTTACAGGACTTTCATATCCATTAGATAAATATATATGTTGTGTATGCGTTCAAATGAAGAAGCCCAATTCACGAAGTATAAGGATAAATTCAGATATTTTTTTAAAAATCATTTAGAAGAAGATTGTAAGTACCTCTACTTTGTCCCATGCTCCTTTTCTGACACCAGTTTTCAAGTTTGAAACAATAACAGAGCTAACTGTCGATGCATGCCCATTTGAGTAATCTGCAAATTCAAATTAGATTTTTTAAAAAAGGAAAGCTCATTATCATTCAATTTATCACTTCATTAGATATCTACAATCCCCTAGAGCAAAAAATTTCAAGAAAAAATAACAATAAACAGTTTCATAATAATATCTCTATCAACAAACTACTGAATCACGAATTTAATTTTTTACCAAAAAATTATATATATATATATATATATATATATATATATATATATATATATATATATATATATATATATATATATATATATATATATATAAAACAGAATACCAAACAGAGTGAGAAGGTAAATTAATAACTACCATATGCATTGTTTGATGTTGCAGCAGCAACAGAAACGAGAGAGAATCAATTGATGTGTCAATAATCTGCACATTATTGCATGTGTTTCTTCTGCTGCACATATAACCATTCAACTTAAAAACCAAAGCACATCATATATACAAACAAACCTTTGAAACCAGAAAATCAACTATAAAACCCTAATAGCATATTCAATCCAAAATAAAACTATCTCCCAGCTTGCTAATCAGATTAGTAATCCTCATCGAAAATATCAAAAGCCAACATAACTATACTTCAAATAATCAGGGGAAAAAACTTTTAACAAATATATCATATTGCAGCAGGGGCAGACAAAACGAAAATAAGAGAAAAATGGTTTTGACTTTGTAGAAGAGGGAGAAAATTACCGATTGCGATGGTCAGAGCTAGGGTTCCGACAGCGATGGTCTGATGTCTGATTCGACGGTCGGCGGAGGTAGCTGACGGTACAACGAAGCCAACGGTGTGAACGCCACCTCCATCCATCGGCTGGATTAACCGGAAATCAAAAAGCTGCACCGCGCCCCCTCTATGATCTGTTCGGCGACGAAGGTAGACGAGTCTTAGGCGACTCCAACAGTGAAGCCCTATGAGAGATGCACCGACTGGATTGGCCGGAATGGCAGCATAATATAGATATGGAAATGGGAAATACCTAGAAGGTACAAGGAGGTTTTGGCGGTAGCGAAGGGAGTGACAGCTGCGAAGGAAGTGAGTGTCTAAACAACAAAGGGAGTGAGTGCTGAGAGCAGTGTATAAGCTGGGCTTGGTTTACATCATTTATTCATTTTTCTATATCTCTAATTTTTCTATTTCTAAAAAATGACAAGAGTTAAAATAATCATTGTCGTTTAAAAAATACACAAAGACATCAAATTTTTGTAAATGTGTTATGTATTCAATGTGTGTTTAAAGATAAAATACTAACAACAACAGATAAATAAATTGTTGTTTTTAAAAAAAAAATCAAAGAAAGACAACGATTTTCGACAAAATTATATATTGTCTTTTGCATAAAAGATGTTGTAAAAAATTATTGTTTTTGTATATTTTTCTTGTTATGTACTATTAATAGATAGTTTTGAAGTATCTAATTTACACAAAGGTATGTGAAATTGATTGTTTATATTGAACATTACGACATGTCAACATTAAACTCTGTGTCGTGGTCAATTGAAGAAATGCAAGTTAAAATCAAAACATTAAAAAAAAAAAGTATGCCTAAAATAATTAATGATAAATTATGTGATCGTCATACGATGGGATGACAAGAATGAAAAAAAAAAAAAAAAGAATTTCCGACCACCTTTGAAGATGGTCGGAAATAATAAATAAGATAAATTTTAAAAATTTAAACAACCAAAAGAAATTTCTGATCACCATTACTTTGTAGTCGGTCTTCATAATCTTTCGACGGAAAAGTGAAAATAATTCAATTTTTTCGACCAATTTTCTAGGTGGTCGGAAATGTGGTCAGAAAATGGAAGATTTTCAGCAGTGATTGTTTATTCCTTGTAATAATAAATGCAATATAATTACATAGAATTAATATATTAATAAGTAGTCACATTCTTCCATGATAAGCCACAACGTCATGTCTCAAACTCAAAAACAATTTAAAATAATTAATGAAGAAATACATAAATTAAACCTGATGACAAGATTAGCAATGAAACTAGGACGATTGACAGCACACCAAACCTAACCATTTCCTTAGTTTCTTCTATCAAATTCAACTCTTCAATTTTCTTTCACCTCAATTATATTGTTTTGTGACTACTCGTCTGGTCTGGTTTTTATAAGGATGATAAATAACATATATTGAAAACAAATACAATTTTTAGAAAACTTTCTTTTATTTTATTTTAAAAACCAAATCTTTGGGAAGAGACTTAACAATTATAAACTAAGGGCCGGAGTTGTAGAAATGTTAACCATTTGGAAACAATATTTAATTAAATAAAAGTAGTTTGGATGTTTCTAAACATATATTGTAAAGTTTCTAAAATAAAATTAATTTTCTTTAATACTGTTTCAAATATTAAATTAAATTAAATTAAATAAATATTAATAAAATTTAAAAGAGATGTAGATATGTTAAACATTTGGAAACAATGTTTACTAAGGGTGTGTTTGGGAACTTGAAAAATGACTTCTTTGAACAATATTTTTTGAAAAATGAGTCATTTTTCAAAAAACATTTTCTTTTCCAGTATTTGGTTGCATTTTAGAAAAATGTGTTAGTGTGTTTTGATCAAAATTATTATTATTATTATTATTATTATTATTATTATTATTATTATTATTATTTTACTACTTTTCCACTCTTTAAATGAAAACAAAAGAATCAGGTTGAAATTATGTGAATATATATATATATATATATATATATATATATATATATATATATATATATATATATATATATATATATATATATATATATATATATATATATTTCTATATTTTAATTACGGTTGCTATATTAGAAGATGAAATTTCAATTTTGGTCCTATGACTATATGGGTCTTGTTAATTTCAGTCTCCGACTTTTAAAAGTGTCAATTTTACCTTAACTATGCAAATTTTTTTTCAATTTTAATCACTCCGGCCAAATTGTCGGTCAATTTTGCCAGAAAATATTAATGGTTAAAAAATTGAGGATATTTTAATCTTTTTTCATGTCTTTTTTTGTCCTCCCCATTTTTTCGCCAGATCTGTGGAAATTCATCGGAGAAGATGGTGATCTGGTCCAAGTTCGCAAACAGTTGTGCATGCACTTCTTTTCACATTCCTTAAGGTTCATGGTTGTGTTGTACCATGTTTCCCTCGAATATGACATTTTAATGCCGGAAAGTGTCCTAAACCCATTTCCTTCCCCAAAACCCATCTGATTGTTCATGACGCAGCCGTCGGACCAGTCTGCCTCGTTCCACTACTTCGCAAACTTAGGCCGGAACCCTTCCAGATTCGACGAATTTCCACAGATTCGACGAAAAAATGGGGAGGGAAAAAAAAGACATGCAAAAAGACTAAAATACCCTCAATTTTTTAACCATTAACAATTTTCGGCGAAACTTGACCGGAAATTTGGCTGGAGTGACCAAAATTGAAAAACACTGCATATTCAAGGTATTAAATTGACACTTTTAAAAGTCAGGGACGGAAATTAACAAGATCCCTATAGTCATAGGACCAAATTTGAAATTTCCTCTATATTTTAAATAAACATAAAAGTGTATATTTCAAAAGTATTTATTAACTAAAATATTTTGAGCAAATACCAATTTTGGTCCCACGAGTATTAGTAAAATGACAGTTTTGATCCACATGTTTAATTCCTACTAATTTTCATCCACGACTATTGTTTCTGTACCAATTTTCATCTACAACTATTATTTTAGTGCCAAAATTGATCACGCCGATCACCCTTCGTTTAAGACATGCTGAAATATGAAATTATTAAGGGTAGTTTCGTCCTTTTTAAATTTGGATCCTTATTTGAACATGAATAAAGGGATTTAAGCTCTAAGATCTATCACAATTCGCAGTTTACCTCCTCAAATTAGGGTAGGATGAGGAAGAGAACTGCGAATTGGGATCGATCTTAGGGCTTAAATTCATTTATTTATGCTCAAATTAGAATCTTAAGTTGAAAAGGACAAAAATGCCCTTAAAATTTTTAAATTTCGGGATGTCTTAAATAGATGAGTGACTGATGTGATGAATTTTGGTACTAAAATAGTAGTCATGGATTAAATTTGGTACTAAAATAATAGTTGTGGATGAAAATTGGTAAGAATTAAACATGTGTACCAAAACTATCATTTTGATATACTCGTGGGACCAAAATTGGTATTTGCCATATTTAAAGTATTTGTGAATATATTTTAGAAATTACTACGAGAAATTTGAAACATTTCTAAGATTTATATTTCCAAATATTTTCTAAGAATAATATTGTTATAATTCCTAAAATATATCAAGGAAATATATATATATATATATATATATATATATATATATATATATATATATATATATATATATATTTTGAACAAAAATATTTATATATTTAATTAGTCTGAAAAAAAAAGATATAAGGAAATATTATAAGATTGTCAAAATATTTTATGGTATTAGGTATTTAATTTTTGAAAGAGTCTAATACTTTAAAATTTTCTTCCCAATTAATATTAATATTAAATACATTAAAAGATCTCCAAAAAAAAATTAAATACATTAAAAGAAGAATTAATGAATTTGTATAATGTATATATTATAGTAGGAAGGAAAAAATTCAAATTTATTATTTAAATAAAACTAGATTCCAATCTTCTCTTCTATTATAATAAAGCAGAACCCAAAAGTTCCCGCCAAAGGAAAGGAGTGGGCGCCAGTTCACATCTATAATAAGGGGTGGAAGTAATTGTAAACGCATGCATTTTAAATTTTGTTTTAAAACTGATATTTAAATGTCTTGGAACTTGAAAGGTTGCTTGAAAGCTCTTCATATACTTAAACTATTATTACAAGCCATCAATACATGTGTGAATACAAAAATGAATTTAATTGGGGATGACTGTTGCAATTTTCAAAACTAATATTAATTTTAAAATGAACTTTCCTATCCTATATATATATATGTGGAGGAAAGAGCGAAAATGAGCAGCATCCATTGCAACCTCGAGGCTGCAGGGAAGAAGATTTGGGAAAGCATCCAATAAGAGGAAGAAGACATTTGGTTGAAGATTAAGGTGTGTTGAGGCCCACAATTGAGAACAACTCCAAAGATGAACCTTTTACAGGAGGGAGTTTAGCTGATGAAAAATGGCAGCTGCAAAAAGAAAGAGTTCTGTAAAAATAAAAATCAAATGAGGTATCAAAATCTATCTATCTATCTATCTATATATATCATATATATTTTATATAAAAACACAATTGCTAGCTTATTTTATATTTTTATGCTTGGCTTTAGTATAAAAATACCAACAATGCATCTTAGAGTAGTCTAGATTTATAATTTCTACCATTGACTTTTTACAGAAAATTGTATTTGTCTGAATGAAGTTTTGGGGTCTGGCAGGGGCTGGTCGTCCAGGTAATATAGTATTAACTGAAATCTGTGAAAAAAGAAAGAAAATAAAGCAATCCTACTATCATTTTGATTTCCAGTAGGACAAAGGATCAAAATGCATTCAAGCATATGACTATTAGCAAGAGGAATAAACACATACAAGAGACTTAGAGTGAGAAATATGAGTATTTTAGCAATTACAAAAATGCAAATTCAAATGATTAAGTAAAATTTTCCTTGGATAAGTAATATTTATCAAGGTATCATGTAAATATACCCGATTGGTGCTTTAAACTTATCTTGATGTAATGCCTTACAACTGACTCTATAATTGTTGTTCTGTTATGCATGTCAGCATGTGTGAGTACTTCTCTCATCAACTTCCGGTTGAAAGAATGGAAGAGAGTCATGTTAAACATATAATTCTTTAAGTATATTGTATTCTTGAATGGACATGAAGTGATATAATTTTATGATATCCAGAGAATTATCTTATATTATTATTGTTTTTTCTGCCAAATAATCTTGCACTGAAGTTTTTTACAGAATATTTTATTTGGCTTATAATCAGTAGTTTTGCAGGTTAGAGTAGTGTATAAACAAGTGATAATGTGTGCTGATATCTTTCCAACACAAAACACAAGTAAAACAATGCAAGTAAGAGTATACATAATGAAAAAGGAAACAATTACTTGGCCTCAGAAAAATCCAATACAATCATTTTCAATGTAGTTTCACCAGGGGGTCTATTTTAATCTTCTCAACTAAATTACTTCACATGTCACTAAAAATATGCAGTACATGTAAAGATAAGAGCATCACCATCAGAGAATTGACTTCTCAGACTGTCAATGTAATACTTGATTTTAAACAAAAAAAACAACTTCACTTTGGAGTATCTTCTTGCATGTTTAAAAAAAAAAAAAAATAAACATGATGCGAATATAAGGATTTATCCGATTTGCATTGGAAAAGAGTACAGTTAGAATAAAGTGGCAGACAAAATGAAAGTGGAGATTACACTATATCAAATTGGTTGATTTCAAGAACCAATTTACACATAGATGGAAAAAGGAAATTGTATACCTGGTAGGAAGAATGAATTGATGAGCCATTTGAGCCGCACGAGCCACTAGTGGAGATCATGCCGGAGGGCAATCCGGAGATGCCGATGGCGGAGTGCGGCTGGAGAAGCCGATGGCGGAGATTCTGAGAATGAAGGAAACAAAGAGAAATTATCGACAGATGACAGATGTAGTATTTTAGGGAGAAGCTCCTCAGTAATGGATTAGGGTTGGGTTTGCATATTATATTTATAAAAAAAAACTGGCATACTGTCATAAACTACCTGTACACCAGAGAACCACTGCGGCTGTAAGCACAGTTCCTCAAAGCCCCACCACCAACCACCGGACTACCATCATTGATGGACTCACACTGTGATTAACTTACATACTGCCAACGCAGAGAACTGAAGACCAGAATGGAAGAAAGACGCTAATCTGGATATAATCTGATAAAGTTTAGAGGATCACAGGTCGGATGGAGACGCAAACCCTAAGCTACGGAAGAAGCTAGAGACGGAGAGCTACTGCGTTAATGCTTGGAGTGGAAAATGAAGAACGCGAAGCGTTTTGCGTAATTTAAAATTAGACATACGGGCTGAGCTTTAATTTCTAATTTTGTTGGGCTTTGAAATATATTGGGCCTAATATAAAATTTAAATTATGTACATATTTTGGGTTGGATCAAAATATAAAATGTAAAGATGCTGGAAAGTGTATATTAATTTGTGTTATTTGTATAATGACTTTAATAATACAAATAAATAAGTTTATATATATATATATATATATATATATATATATATATATATATAATTTATTTATTTATTTAATTATCTTATTTGTCAATGTGTATTGTTAATCATTCGAAATATGTATTAATTGTAGTTTGTGTATTGTATTTTTTATTTTTTTAAGTATTACATGTTATATCCGACCGGCAAGAAGTGATAGTACTTATTCATCTTCAAATGGTAATAAATAAAAACATTTTTTTTATCTATTATAACATTACAAATAAATCATGAATATTTATCCGTGCATCGCACGGGACAAATACTAGTTTTAATAATAATGTATATATTGAGCACATCTATACTACCAATAAAAACAAAATCATACTATTGTAAATTCCCGCTCAAACTACCTCCCAAGCTATTACTGTATAAAATCTATTGTAATAATTATTATGGTAATTAAGCTAATAATTAACATAACGCTATCATTCTTCTATATATATATATATATAATTATATTTATATTTATAATTATACTCAATGTATAAAAGTATAATTGCACAATATTAATATAATTACTTAATAATTATTATGGTAATTAAGAAATTAATTGTACAGATGTTAGTATAATTGACTAATAATAATTATATTAATTAAGATAATAATTACACAAATATTAGTATAATTACAATTAAACATGAGTCGTTGAATTTTTTTAATATGAGAATTGAAGCATGTGCTCCATCTCAACTAAAAGCTGTAGCCGCTTATGAATGGCGCTAAGATTTGAATCCATTACCTTTGGTCTGGCTCTGATACCAAATTGAAGCATGTACTTCATCTCAACTAAAAGCCTAAGCTGATAGTTGAATTTCACATTAATGGCTATATGCTCACAATGAGAACAAAATAAATTATTATTCTCACTCTTCCATTTAATTATTATGGTAATTTTATGCTAGCTAATCTCTCTCTATATATTTTTATACTTAAGGTATAATTGTATAATTGCACAATATTATTATATTTACCTAATAATTATTCTGATAATTAAAGAATTAATTGCACATATATTAATATAATTGAATAATTATTATAATAATAATAAAGTTAATAACTACCATAATAATACTATAATTACAATTAAACATGGTCGTTGGATTTTTTTTATTATTATCACAATTAAATTTATTCTATATATATATATATATATATATATATATATATATATATATATATATATATTTATTTATTTATATTATAATATCTCAATTCTATTGACAAATAGAACATTTAATTTTGGAAAGAGTACAATACTTTAAAATTGTCTTCCCAATTAATATTACGGAGTACGTATTCCGTAATATTGAATATAATCATCTACCAAAATATTTAATATAACTTTTTCATTATGGGAATCAATCACATTAGGTGATTTTGCATTCTCATAATCTTATTTTTCATTTTAGAGATAATCATATTACATAATGTAATCTAACAGTATAATCTTACCTATATAAACGAATCGAGGGAGCACATAATTATCAATAGTAAAGAAAAGCAAATTTATAAAGAGTTGCATATATTTGTTAGGAATGGCAAAGTTGCAAAGTTGCCAAGTTGGGTGTCTTAACCATCCTTCTTGTAGTGTTTATCATCTTAGCAGGTTTATTTCTTCTTCTTTTTTTTTTTTTAATATATTTAAATTATTTTGACTATTCTTTCTTATGTGTATAATGCAATTTATTTTTGGGGAATATTTCTTATTATTTTAATTTATCCTTTTAACTTTATCAATCGAAATACATTTTATACTTGCAAAAAAAAATTAAAAAATAATTTTTAAAAAAGAATGTAAAAATAACAAAATAAAAATATCTAATTGATCAATTATGATAATAATATGACCAGTTTTAATTTGCATCATTTTCTTTGTTTTTTTTTTCATCAGACATTGTTGAAGTAAAGTGCGATCTTAATTGCTGCTTTGACAGTCTGATTAGACCATGTAACGACGGAAATTGTAATCAACGCTGCTTTCAAAGTAATTGTGGCAAAGGAGGCAAATGCAAAACCATAAGCTCAAAACCATATTGTCATTGCTTTTGCTAGCCATCCAAACCCAAACCTCTCAATTTATTGTGTTGTTTGGTCATCATTGCCCAATTCAATAAAAATATAAAAATTCATTATGCTTGAGCCTATTCAAATGGTTTGTGTCTAATCTATGCAGAATTGTCGTGATTTTTATAACATTTGAGCAATTAAAAATTTAACATGTCATATTCGTTGGTCTCTTGACAAGTGTTGAGTGAAGATAATCACATGACAGTCTATGCTGTCAAGCTTTTTATGATTTACTTCTTCAAAGTTTACTTCAATTCCTTTCAGTATTCTTCTCCCGAAAATGCTTCCTTCCATTACACATTCTGGTTATACTTTTTCTAATAAACTTTCTTTCTGTAGAGAGCGAAACAAGTTTGCGATTTATAATAAAGAAATTTTTAGGATCTACTATCTTTAATACATATAATTTGCATCATCAAAATTTATAAAAAATTATTATTCGTGAACTACATAGATAAATCACACTTCTTAAACTAGTAGCTCTCTTAAATAAGATAATTTAAAAATTAATTGAATAAAATTGATTTTCCCAACTGATCCACTCCTACATAAAAAGGTGTTGAATTCCAATTAGCTTGGATAAAAGTGTTAAAGACTTCTTGAATCCGTTTATACTTAGATCTCATTACCAAGCAACTTGAAACTTACGAGTTACGAACAATATTCTTTAGCTTGTTGATACTGATTACCATTGATATAGCCTCTTCATCAGGTGACCTTTCGAATTGGTTTAACTCTACTACAAAATTAAAAGATGTGTTTCATTTCAATAGTTAGACATCACATTTATATTTTATATATTATATTCTACTAGAAATTTTAGCAAAATTGACATTTTAAATAGTCACTTTTTGGTACAAATATTTATGAGGTACATTTCTAGTTTGGATCAAGTCAAAATGTGTTCGAGTTCTCTAAGTGAGATGAAGAAAAAAAAAACGATATACTGTAGATTCAAAATGGATAAATAAATTGATTTACAAATTGTACTTAATTTGAGTTGAAAAGGCATGGAAAATGGCTTCCCAAGGTAATCAGCCTTCCTATCTAAATATTTATTTATAGATACATAATATCTTAACTATGTATATAATTTGAATGTCATTTTAAATCAAGGTCTACGATTCTCATGGACCATGGTTCATGGTGTAACAATTGACATTTGCATGGGAAATTATACCATGGACCAATTTCTACCTTGTATTATGAACACTGGTCCAAAATGAAATTCAACTTATGCGCCTACAATTAACAGATTATATACCCATAAATAAATTGAAAGTACATAATATGTTAACTTGTGTTGGCAAGTGTTTATTACTTATATGAAAAAATGTAATATTTATGAAGAAAATGTAATACTTTTTTAAAAAAATGTAAAAGTATTACACTTTTCCATATAAGTAATAAACACTTTATTCCTAATTAATATTACATTTTTCAATATAAGTATTACAATTTTCATCTTAATCCCAACCCGTCTCACACAAACTTTTGCCTATATGAAAAGTCTCAAATTGAAACTTTACTTTTACAAGACATTTTATGACACCCAACTACTTTCAACAATATTTTTTTTTTTATAATTGAAAAAAACACCAACTAATTTGGCCCAACATTATAAAATAGATAAGTGTCCAAAAAATAATAGTTTAGGATGTTAAATGACAAAAACAATAATCTGAGGCTAAATTTAGGATGTTAAATGACAAAAACGATAATCTGAGACTAAATTTAGAATTGCCACCACAGACAAGGGATCCTTTCACTCTCCTTTCCTTGGAATTAATTATTATTATTATTATTATTATTATTATTATTATTATTATTATATATCTTAGTTGTCGCTTTCAAAAAAAAAAAAAAATCTTAGTTGTCAAATTTTTGTAGTTTCAGTATGCATGTAATTACTTAACTATATACCATTTTATAAAAAGTAATTAATGCCCAGTTTAGGTTTTTCAAGTATAGTGGCATCCAAGTCCCCAACACGTTTAAGTCCATTTTAGGTTAGGGATGTCAATTTAGCCTGAACCCGATGGGCCAACCCGAAAAAAAACGAAATCGACAGGACTATGGCCCGAACGGGCTAGCCCGATAAAACACATTAGTCCGACGAGTCCGAAATCGATTAACCCGATACCCGATAGGGCTAGCCCGAAATTAAAAGGGCTAGCCCGACAACCCGAACTATTGAAAACTATTCTTTATTATAGAAGTGATGTGAAACCTAACATATATGGAATAATTATTATACTTTAAAATAAATAAATAAATAAATAAATAAATAAATAAATATATATATATATATATATATATATATATATATATATATATATATATATAATTTAAATTAAAACTTAAATTTTTAGTTTTATAAAATTTAAATCAACTTTAATCTAATATTTTGACTAAAAATTGATGAGGACGGAATTTTTCGTCCCCGCTAAATTCTCCGCGGGAACGTAAATAGGGACTATTTTTAATTTTTCGTTGAGGACGGAGATGGGGAGTATACTTCCCGCCCCGCCCCATTCCGTCCCGCCCCGCTCCGTTGTCATCCCTACTTTAAATATGGGTACTCACTTTCAGTTTCTAATTTTAGTTCAGATGGTTCAACCCGCCCGATTAGCCCGACAACCCGAAGTTTAGGGTTAGGGCCAAACCG